ACTACTACTACTACTACTACTACTACTACTACTACTACTACTACTACTACTACTACTACTACTACAACAAAAACAATAATAATAATAATCTACACAACAACAGTCAGACATTCATTCCGTGCGTAACTTACCACAAGTACAGCTTGACCACTTTCTCGCCATCACAGAAGGAGGAAGAGCCACGCCTTTCTTCGAGCTCATCTACGCCACTGCTGACCGGAATGTACGATTTACTACCGACTCTCGAAACGATGCCACCACAATCAGGCTTCTCGTCCGCACAACCAACACCATCGTTTAGTCCACCAGATTGTTCGGAGACCTGACTCCTCTGCAGCTGAAACTGGCACAGTATATCGCCGCACCCGTCTATCACTGATGTATAAGTCTGCGGTTCCTCCTTTGGCGCCAGTGAAGGTTCATAAGAGTTGTCAAACTCTGAGAGACACCACGTCATTGGCTGATCACGCTTGGCCTCCAGCATGCTCACAACTGTTGAAGAATCTCCTTCTCTCCTGCACTCGTCCTCGATGGAATCACCATTTGACAAATCACCTACACCACTACAATCACTGTAATCACAGCCATTTTCTTCCGGGAAAGAGATACTGCTGGCCTTCAAAATAGACTTGCACGGACGATTGGCTCCCTTCATTTCTACCTCTGATTGTTCTATCGAAGGATCTAACTTGCAATGTGGCGTGTGTATGGACGCGCAAGTGCTCATGGCGTCATAGGTAGACTACTCGTAGCTCGCTGTCGTAATGGGTTCACTTATGGTCACACAATACTCTAATAGTCCTGTGTATGCGCCCGCAAAAGTGTCATCAGCACAGCAGTGCAGGGGTTAACACAAAACAGAGAAGTAAAACAAAGAAGAGGGGCAGTAATAACGCAGCGCTAGCGCACCAGGAGCAGCACAATACTGTCTCCTGTGATCTAGCCTTGACAAAAGATGGACGACCGAGAAGGAGAGAAAGCAGGGGCTGTCGTCTGCTACGGCTTAGAAGGTCCTCCCAGTGCGACTGATCTCTCGACAGCACGAAGCCCTTCGAACGATTAACCCATTTGAGACTGAAGCGAGGGCTGGGATCGGTTTAAGGAGGAAAGGAAGAGGGGGGGGGGGTCTCAGCCGTTGCACCTGGCTAACTGCACGTTTGGGACATGGGGAGAAATGTGGTGACCAGTTGGGCTAACACTCACTTCCCGCCACGTCCGCGATGTCGTCTGCCTCGCAGAATGGGGGGAAGAAGACAAAAGGTGCTATGGTCTTTTTGGAAAAGCTGCAGCTCACGAAAGCAAATTTTGATCAACCCACATAAGCAGCGGCGTTCAAAGATCAAAATTGCAACAACAGGCCTACATCAAAGGGAAAGCCAAAAAAGTAGACCCTTGAATTCATAGGAACGAACTCGAAGGTGGAGTACCTCCGATTTATCATTCTCAACGAAGAACTATCCACTGTCGCAATTCCAGTCTCTTCTTCCCACGTCTGTGGTCTCGTCTGCTACTTCGGGGGTTTGGAATTGGAAGCGATCCCAGGTCGGTTTGTACTGACAATGGCCTCGCTCACAAACCTCTGTCCGTGACGTACATGTAGGTCAGAGCACAACCCCGGTACACGTGACCGAGTGCTTTGCTGCCAAACACTTCCCGAACAACTCCAAGGTTATCTCGTATTTTTCTCAGATGGCTCGTCGTTTTCAAGATGGACGTCATCCTGTGACGTCACAACCTTGCGCTGCGGGATCGTACTTGTGTACCTGGTAGGTGCTCAGCCCTGTACGAAAAAGGAAGAGAAAAGAAAACAAAAACAAAGGTAAGTATAAAGAAGAAAAAAAGGTAAAACATCAGTTACTTCAAGTTTAGCTGTGGTAAGAGCATTATGGCATTTGCAAAAAAGAGAGGTCTTACAAGTGTCGAAGATCAGAGGTGATACAACAGAGTGATAAACACAAAAAACCCCAAGGGGAACAATAAGGACGACAGATGTTTGCATTGACAGGAAAGAAGGAGCAAATCACACCAGAGCACCCGTCAACCACCCTCTGTTTGTTGTCATAAAACAATGGCAAGAACATGATCCACCGCACAATCACCGACAAACACAAACAAATAGCACTGGATTCTAGAACAAAAGCGAAGGACGTCAAAACAGCAACAGTAACTGGTATTTGATGTTGACAATTAAAAATGGCAAACAAAAAGAGTAATAAAAGGATAGGAAAGAAGTGGGAACAGTTTTCACTGTTATTAAACATGGAGATTCGACAAGACAGCACTGGGGTCCCGATAATATGACACATCGGAGCAAACGGACACGAGACAGAAGGAAAAATAGCTTCTCGAGGCAGGAATCGAACTCACATATTGTGAACAATGTACTAAGTCCAGATCGCAAAATTTTACAGAAGAGAGAACAAAAAATGTTTTTCTTTGTTAAAAAATGTCATTTTTAAACAAGTGTACCTCTACATCGTGTCATTTTTCTTTTTCATTCAGCATTTAGAATTTGAATTTCGACAAAGTATTTGAGTACATGCAACTGGTTCTCCAGATTAAGAAAGTGCAAAGAAAACGATCTGTTTAATAAGCAATGCAAAATAAAAATGGGCTTAGCATTTTATTTTAACAGCTGTTCGGCGATATTCTCCGTGTGAGGCCAGGATCCAAACCATTACACCAGACCCCCGCCCGCTGGTGAGACAAGCAAACAAAACCAAACAAATAAGCAAACAAAAGAAAACAAAACTGTGCCAAGGTCTGGAAAGAGGGGGGAATCCACGCCATGTCGAGGGCGTGCAGCCCGGCCTTATAGGCACAGCCGATGGCCAGTCGGCAGGGTTTTTTTTTTTTTTGTACGGAATTCGAGTTTTTAGTTTTAGTAAGGTTTTACGGCGCTCGTTTAGATTTTTGTTTTAGTAAGAGTTTTACGCACTTGCAACACAAAAAGGTCATATAAGTGCCGAAGATTAGAGGTGTTACAAGAGAGTAACAAACACGAACAAGAAGGAGGGGAGATAAAGACGATAGATGTTTGATAGGAAAGAAAAAGAAAACCACACCAGAGCACCCGCCAACGGCACTCGCAACTCCGTAAGGTCATTTGAGCGCCACGTGGTGGAAGTCAACAGAAAAGTCCAAACGGGGAATCAGGCGTACTCTGCTCCCCTCTCTAGCCTCAACAGCTTCGACTATAAAGGCACCCAGGAAATAGCAGTTCACAAAAGAGTGACAAACGTACACAAGAAGTAGAGGTAAATGACGATAATAACGATGAGGAAACAAAAAGCAGCAGTTCCCCCTATGTTGTTCCGGCACAGTATGAGCATGACATAGATAAATCAGCCCATTTACAATTCTATTGTGCATAGGACATGCTAATACTCCCTTCAATGGGAATGGCCTAAAAACAAGTTCAGTTAGTAGCACTGCCCTGGTTTGGGGGGAGGGGGGGATTCGAGGATATAGTTAAGTTTCTCAAAAAAAATAACCCCCAAAAAACAATAACAACAAACAAATCAACAAAAAAGATATCAGAAATGGTAAAGTATTTTTCAAGCCAAAATAAAAAACCTAAAACAAGACAACCCAAAGCTGAAAAAAAAAATGATGAAGAAGAAGAAATATTTCGAGTAGACGTCGTTATCATGAAAACCGTGGCTCTTTCATTCCTCGCTGTTCCTGATTGAGATGGAAAAATAAATGATGATGATGATGATGATGATGATGACGATGATGATGATGATGATGATGATGATGATGATGATGATGATGATGATGATGACGATGATAAATACAACTGAACAAACAAACTGGGCAACAACAAAAAAAGAGAAGAAAGAGACAAAATGAGTCCGTTGACATCTTACTGGACAAAAGCGTAGATCCTAAGTATATTCGGTTTTGCTCGGTGAAGAGAAGCCCTTCGACTTTGATACAAATCCGGTCATTTATTGGCGCTAGGAAAGCAAGACTGACAATGAGCGACAGAAACAGTGGAGGGAGAGTAAAGAAGAAGATCTAGGGCCTACTTCTCTGTCCCCGTCGTTTTATGCACAAAATAAATTCTGAAATTATGCAAACTGAGCCCCAAAAATGTGAAATTATGCGATTCTGTTAATTCTAACAAAGAATGATATAGGAAAATAATAAGAAATTATGCAAAAAAATATCAAATTTTTCTAAATTTTGCAGGGTGCACTTTGAGGATCACAACAATTCAACTCAAAGCTACAACCATCAACAACAACAGCAACAACAAATAATAAACAAACGACGCCTGTGAAGCAACAAAATAATTCGGTAACGGAAAACTACTTTGAATAAAAAGAAGCTCATCGACACGATTACGATCATATTGTGCAGGGAAGAAGTAAGGCAGACAAACAGAAACAACAGAAGGAGAGAAAACAAGTTGGATCAACTAGTGATGTGTTCTATAAGGTCATTTAAGTGCGGAAGAGTAGAGCTGTTACAAGAGAGAAACAAACACAAAATAGAAGGAGTAGAGATCAGCAGGACGATAGATGTTTGATAGGAAGGAAGGAGAAACCCACACCAGAGCACCCGCCAACCACCCACCAGTGGCGTCCTCCAAACAGCGGCGTAAACAAAAACAAAAAGGGAAAAGAGGAATAAAAACAAATAAACAAACAAACATGGAAATCCTTTCTCCCCCATCGCCATAATCCCCGTGGACTGCAGCGCTGCTGCGAGTGTACTTAAGCCGTGCCGGGACAACTCCCGCCTCAATCAGGTCAAGGGCAAGACGGCGCGCGAAACAAGAGGGGCCGGTCAGTGAGTGCAAGGCCAGCTTTGAGGACGTGAGGGCAAGCAACCACAAACAGGAATGCGTTTGGCTCATCACATTATTAGTTGTCAAAGCGGTCAACATCCGATTTCCGCGGTTATAATACAAAAAGAATTACGTAACACACACACACACAAACACACACACACACACACACACACACACACACACACACACACACACATAA